TTGTAAATGTATGCAAGTTTTTGACAACGTTTTGGCTACATGCATTAGGTTAACTTAGCTTATTTTTTTTTATTGTCATAATTAACATAAATTATTATTATTTTTTAATTCATGAACATTTATCATTTATTGTGCACGCATTGCTTATAATTGTATTCGGTACCCCAACATCCCCTTTTAATTATTGAATTTTTTTAATAATAAGCGTTAGTGTTCTGAACAGTCCTCGAGAACACGGAGAATACTCTTTGGGGCCCCGAGACTATTCAAGAAGTCGACGACAGGGCCGGGCTTTTCATAGGAACCGCTTGGTAGCCGACTATTGAGAGCCCACACGAAGGAAGCTCCTCCAACGCTCAAAAGCTTGTGAATTAAGGAGTGTGGACATCGAAGACCCAGAGGTTCTTACTACGACACTAATGTCCCTCCAAATTTTTTTTTTATTTTAAAAAAATTTTTTTTCTTTTCCTACATAGCACCATTTTACCAAAGTTATTTTGTTATAAGGTCTNCATTTTACCAAAGTTATTTTGTTATAAGGTCTAGGGTCAGACCTTAAGTGTAGGGGGAGCAGCTGATACGATCACATTTGCATGTGCCCATATCTCTTTCTCCCATAACATCGTTGTACCGTTTAATAGACATATATATATATATATATATATATATATATATAATTAACACAGTGACATACAGCAATACTAACAGGAGGGCGGACTGCACACATAAACACTTTTTGCAATTCACGGCCAATGTGCCATAATAAGATATCCCTATCGACAGTTGACATTTTACCATCTTCGCGATCACTACTTTTGCCTGATAATTAACTTAACTTCGCTACCCCGTATATTATAGTGTGTGTGTGTGTCGCCGTCAGCTCCCTGTTGGATTATATCATCTCTAGGTGTCCAGCAGGTTGTATTATCTATTTAATATTTCAATTGTTTAATAAATATTTATTTATATCGTTGTTAACCTAAAGTGTTATATATATATATTGTAGTGCGACCCTTGGTAGTTCCTCTAAGGGAATATAAATTAAATAGGAAACTTCAGTACCTAAGGTAGATATAGCCTAGCCAGCTATCCCCCGTTGGTCCCTTAGAATACTGTCGACGGGCTTTTAGGCTAAATCCCTAAATAGCGACGTAACACAGTCATTACTTAAAATTTTTAATAACTTTTGAAATACTGGTTCATATCTGTTGTTGACCATTCTTTTTCTTAAATAGATCATTTTCTATTTTATAAGATAGTTATTAAGTAATAACAAAATAACACAAATTCAAATTTTTATTTCATAAATTAACACGTAAGAATTACGATCAAAAACTTTACGTATCGATGACGAGAGCGTGATTAGAACAGGTCGACTATAAAGGATTTCTCTGCCTTATAAAATATTTTATATACCCGAAAATCATCATTGTCAATGTTATTATTTATTGATGAGTAATCATAAAGTATACAAATTAATATATAAAATGGCACAACATATATAAATTAAAACATGTGAATAACATACAAATAATTTTGATATTTTATATAACATTAATATAGTTTGTTTTTATATTTAGATTGGGGTTGATACATTGTTTTTATTCTTAAGATCAATTTAAAAAATATAGTACAATCAGCTTTTTACTAGCGCTAACGACAAATTTAACACAGTGAAAAGGACCTATTTAAATCAAGACTCATATATTTCAGATTTCTCATGTCTTACTAACAAAACCCAGCTCAGGGGGGTCGCAGCACAGTTGTGACGTGGTTTAGTTGGATCAAGTATAATGATATCTGACAGTGATTAAAATCACTATCAAAAATAAACGCTTCGATGCAAATCTTTAGATAGTGTTTAATTTTAAAAAAATTGGTGTTTTATTCCAAAAGCTACTTGATCTGCTGGTTCCTTAATATCTCGATTTAGATAAAGTATGTCGAATGAAAAAGGGTTTATTAAAAAATATTATTTCTCATAAAAAAATTGTGTGGATCCATAAACTTTTCAATAAGTTATAGCATTATAAAGTTAAATATAATATGAATAATAAAATCGAGAATTTTCACACGAAAATAGCATTCGGTAGCCATTTTCGCCGTGAAGAAAAGTCCAGAGGTCAAATTTTTTTTTTTCAAATTAAAGTATATTACATTAGCTTTAATTTAAGATATATATAAAAGTGTCAGACCTTCCGGAACATTTTCAAAAGTTATGTTGAAAAAGTAAATTTTTTGTGAAAAAGTTGTCATTTTAAATCCCCCCCTGTGGGCAGGTTAAGTGTCAGATTTACAAAAAAAATATACCAAATGATAAGTAAAGACATCAAGCATCTATATAAAAAAAAATTATATTGATATGTTCATTTTTGAAAAAGTTAGAGCATTATTAAGTTAAAAATATAAAAAAAAATTATTTTACAAAAATCGTAATTTTTTATTAACTTTGATGTCAACTTTCACCACGAAGACAAGTCCAGAGGTCAAATTTTTTTTTTTCAAATTAAAGTATATTACATTAGCTTTAATTTAAGATATATATAAAAGTGTCAGACCTTCCGGAACATTTTCAAAAGTTAAGTTGAAAAAGTAAATTTTTTGTGAAAAAGTTGTCATTTTAAATCCCCCCCTGTGGGCAGGTTAAGTGTCAGATTTACAAAAAAAATATACCAAATGATAAGTAAAGACATCAAGCATCTATATAAAAAAAAATTATATTGATATGTTCATTTTTGAAAAAGTTAGAGCATTATTAAGTTAAAAATATAAAAAAAAATTATTTTACAAAAATCGTAATTTTTTATTAACTTTGATGTCAACTTTCACCACGAAGACAAGTCCAGAGGTCAAATTTTTTTTTTTCAAATTAAAGTATATTACATTAGCTTTAATTTAAGATATATATAAAAGTGTCAGACCTTCCGGAACATTTTCAAAAGTTAAGTTGAAAAAGTTAATTTTTTGTGAAAAAGTTGTCATTTTAAATCCCCCCCTGTGGACAGAAAAAAGGTCAAATTTACAAAAAAAATATACCAAATAATAGGTAAAGACATCAAAAATCTATATAAAAAAAAAATTATATTGATATGTTCATTTTTGAAAAAGTTACGGCAGTTTTTAGTAAAAAAAATTGAAAAAATTTCGAAAATTAGCAATTTTTAAATTTGTAATTTTTTTGGAGGTTTCCCCCATTTACGGGGAACGAGGGAAATTTTTTCAATTTTGAAGGGTAATGTCTACGACTAGATACAATTTGTAATCTTTTGACGTATCGTTGAAAGAAATCCGTTCGGTGAGAGCTGAGAAAAAGTGGTAACAGACACAAAAAAAAACACATCATAGTAAAACCAATACCTTTATTTATAAGTTTATTAAAGAGTGATTTTTAAAAATGACTAATAATTGACTCATGTCTGAATCGTGTGTATTATAATATATTAAGCATTTGTATGTTAAATATTTCTCCAAATTATTTATTTAAATTATTTGTTTAAAAACAATCATATTATTTTGAACATATGAATTTATAAATAAAAGTGTTAATAATTTTAAATGAAAAGATTTAATAAACATCCATTATTGTGGACACAAACAGAGATGTCCACTGTTATTCCATATTATGATAGTGACGAGAACATTACGACTGTCGTTTTGTAGGGTTGTTCTTGTGTAGTAAGTACCCCAAAATATCTCTGAATACTAAAAAAGAAAAAATTTAAAAAAATTAACAAAAATATCATTAACTGATCAAATTTAAGTAGATATCAGTTTTTTATTTGATATACAGAATGATTCGGCGTTATACATTAATGAAATAACTTTTTATTAGCTATAACTTCTTATTGATAATAATAAAAATAAGGGGATAGATTCGTTATTTTTATGTTTCATCACTCAATTTAATTGTCTCTATACACAAATATATATTTAAAATTACGAAATTATAATAATGATATGTTTTAAAGTTTTTGAAACACGTTTTTAAAATATTTTGACCACTTAACTGTTTTTCTTGGTAAGTAATCAAAAATTATTTTGCAAAAATATGAGGTATATTAAATTGAATAATTTATTTTAAAAGTTAATTAATTAAAATAATATCTAATACATAATTTTATTTAGTGAAAATTTATCTTATATCAAGTAAAATTAGAAATACTTATTACAAATTAAGATCAAGTCCTAAAAGTGAAATTTCATGACGCTGACTATAAATAAATTCAGTAAATAGAGATACCCCATTCACAATCCTGACAACGGATTAACTATCAATCTTGGAGTTAAGAAACTTTTTTGAAAGATATCACATTGACCTCGGATGGGTAGTATAAGTCTAAACAATTATTTACGTAATATTTATTTTACCTGTGTAGGAGATATTTTCTACGTTTGTACCTGCAAACTGATTCATTAATTCAGTAACTGTAGAATCATTAAGATTGATTTTGTATTGTTTAAAAGCATCAATTAATTCAATTTTAGTCATCACATTATTTTTGAGGCAACTATTATAAAATCTCTCAATAAAAATCTCAACTCGATGGAGAACTATTGCCATTATACTTAAAAATTGCACTTCCGTCATATATCCATCAGCTTATTGAAATAAAAAATAAGTATTATCAATTCATTTTTATTTAAAAGTAAAATTTTAATACTAATAATATTATTATTCATAATAATCAATAACCAACATTTATATATTACTTAATATAATCAATTTATTATATTTATTTGTTGATATTATTAAACAACACACTGGGTACAGTAATATTATTTAAGATAACAGTTTAATGTATTTTTACTTATGTTAGTATAGTACAAGGTCAAAGGGACACATTCTTTTACGATTATGTTGTTTTACTCAATGCAGCCTATTGTATACATGTTTACAGTTTAGTCGTAGTTTCGCCGTCTATCGAGTAAAGTGACCCGTTGCCGTTGTACATCTCTTATATTATATGATTTGATATTTTATATTAAATACTATTATATTACGAATAATTTCTAAATCTTTTAATTACATAACCTATTCTATTCAACATTATTTATTATATTCTTTTAGATATGACTTGAAATGTGAAATGAGTGCAACTAAAAACTGAAAATGTAAACCCGAGAAGCATTATGAAATTTTCTAAGCTTTTTATAAAAAATTTTAGCTATAATTCATATTTAATTAGCGTCATAAACGCTATTATTAATTAATTAATTGTGTTAATTATTACAGCTAAATTTATATAATTCCTACCAGAGGTGCCGGAACTATTTTTTACATGGTGGCGGGGGCACAACTTTAATGACTAACACTAGGTCCCCTTGTTTGTTACTAAGCTACAAAGCGAGTAAAGCTATTTTTTGTGGATTCAAAATTCGGTAATTTTGTAAATTTTACTCTTAGAATATATATTATTAACTTTGATGCAAAGTTGAGAAGATATTAATTGTAGCATAATGTATTTATTTATTAATGTCAAAAGATTACAAATCATATCTAGTTGAAGACATTACCCTCAAAAATTGAATATTTATAAAATCCCGTAAATAATGAAAATCCCCATAAAATTACGATTTTTTAAATCAATAAATTTCGACATTTTTTCAATTTTTTTATCTAAAATTTGTCATAACTTATTGAAAAATGAACAAATCAAAATAATCTTTTTGACATTGAAACCTTAATTAATTCCCTTTTGTTTGATATAATATTTTTGAAAATCTGATCATCCTTTACCTAAGAGGGGATTCAAAATAACAACTTTTTTACAAAATTCAACTTTTTCAACTTTAGTTTTGAAAATGTTCCGGAAATTAGGCGTCCTTTAAACATATGTCAAATTAAAGCTTATAATACGTACTATAAATTAAAAACAAAATTGTCCCAACGACTTATCTTCTACGTGCAAACGGCTACCGTAATATAAAAAATGCTATTTTTGTGTTAAAATTTTCGATTTAAAATTTTCAACTTTAAATTGCTATAACCTTTTGAAAAATGTATAGAACAACACAAATTTTTGTATCTAATTTTTATTTTCAGTCTAGTACGCTTTAACATAACACTTTTTTTATTCTTATTTGATTTTATTGAAGCGGACGATGTCCCCGATTCGATAACACGGCAGTGCTTGACACGCACTGCCTCGGGTTCGAAATTCGATCACGGAAGACTTCATTTAACGAGCAAGAGATCAGTTCAGTAATTAGTGTCACCATCCTTTTTTCCGGCGACGGACTAATCACCCATGCCGGAGGACCAGTAGTTAAGATAACCAAGGGATTGAAAAATAAAAAAAAGGGTCAGGTTTAAAGATAAATCTAATATGGCTGAACATTTATTTACATAAAATAACTTCAAAACCATAAAACTAATTATAAATGTAAATAATTGCAAAGAAATTAATATAAGGGAGACAATAGAAATGTTTAAAAATAAGAACAATTTAATTAATTAGGATCTTGGTCCATTGAAAAATACATTATTAAATTTGTGTAAATTGGCATAATGTGATAATATTACTTAGTGATATGCTCATTAGGGAGAGGTATATAAGAGAGTTTTTTGGTTGGGATGTCATTATGTGTATAGCGTTGATAATGGTGGCATTGTTCCTGAAATACCATTCCGCGATTTTTTAGCAATTTTTTTGTGGCTTTTTGAGTTGAATATTTTTTAGTTTAAATTCATATCTTTAATATAATTTTAATTTTAAATAATGAGTCACTAGTGATCAATTTTTATTATATTAGTATGCATAAATTGTGGTTACATATATTTATAAGATACGAGATGAAACTTCATATTTAAATCTTAAATCAAAATTTTATCGTACCTATTTCCTCGAACGATACAATAAACAAATATACAAATACATTAAATCTACAGAATCAGTTGTAATTGTATTTGTTGAAAATAAAACTTAACTTATTTAATTATAAGTAGAATTTTACTTACTGTTTCCAACAATGCCAACGAAAAATAAATGAATTTTGGTATCATTTAAACAGTGTATCTTTTGATATTTTTTCAAAACCGTACAAAATTTTGCATAATTCATTCCAATGTCATTCTCTCTGATATCATGAAATAGCTTAGTCATACAAAGATTGCCATTGTAAGTCAATTGTCCATCCTTCATTCATTAAATTATATTAGAAGTCATAATAATACTAAATTTAAATTCTTTGGATTTAATTATAATACAATTAATTAGTTTAAAAAATAAACTATATTCTTATCATTATTGATAAACAAATGTTGTTTTTTTAATCAGAAATCTAGGAACTAAGATCGAACCGATAGGATCGGATAATAACCCAAAACCCATTGCATATGCACAAACCCAACTTGACCAATAGCTTAATTTAAATTTTTTTAAAGCTGTATTGGAACTAAAACTCAAATGGATAAAAAAACATACATTTTAAGGTTTTTATAGTTATTACATGAAAATACATTTTTATAATATAAATTATAATTTTTAAATTATAAATAGAATATCATAAAAGAAGTCGAAATCCATAAATGAGGTTGACGTCAAATATATAGTGATATTAATATGGATTATTGTTCTAATAGTGACATATCGTGTCTTATTGGATATTTAAAAAAATTTATTATACGCACTTATTGTCTCAGTCCGAATCGATGTGTAGTAACGGTTAAAATAGCCAAATGAATATTTTAGATAATCGACAAAAATCGTGATTGCGTAGCAGCTGTAAACTGTTGGGCCAATTACATAGGAAGATACGTATTTTCTTTGTAAATTTAAATTCTTACAATACACGTATAATATGTTATTTGTGAATTAGCTATTTTGTTTTATTTTAGTGTAAATACGAAAATGGCCCGTCGTTCTCAGACAGTCACTCATTTACTTATTAAATTTATAATAAAGGAACGAAAAGTTATAAATAATTCTTAACAATTAAAGTATTTATTTTCTAACTCAATAATATACAGCAGAGTACATTTTAACATATGAAGTGGGTAGTATTCGTGCCACCTAGTAAAAAATCATTGCCACGTAGTAATTAATCGATCTGCCTTGTTTACTGGTAAAACATAGTATTTACCAGTAAATTTATAGTAAATTAGCATCTTCAAAATGTCTTTCTAACGGTTTTTCCTTTTTAATATCTTTGAAACTCTTTCAACTTCATGATTAGAAAACTAGGTTCATATTATTTTTTTTAGATATTTATAGTTAAAAAAAAACTAAAAAATTATAAATTGTCTAACAGTGCTTTTAGGCCTAAAGAAGTATATTGCTTTCTTTCTCGTTAGTCACAAGATTGATATAGCTAAATCCTTAGTGATAGAGTCTAGTGATGTATCCAGAATTTATAACAGATTTTTTCTTAAAAAAATCCCCTCGTATATAACCGTGTAGTTTTTTTTTGGTTTATAGGAGAGCTCAATTCGAAAATTTACTTTTATTAGTGCCACTCGGTGAACATTTTTTAAAATATGCTTTGGTGTAAAGTTAACTGTTTTTATTTATGTGTCTAGGGCATCCAAACTCTTTCGTAATTCCACCACTAATATTAATTAAAAATGTAAAATTTTAAGTTTTGAACAAAAAATTTAAAATAACGGTTTTTATCGGTTCAAGAACGGGTTTTAACTAAAACCATAAATTTGATTTTCTAAACACCTAACCGTACCAAAACCACAAAAAAAAAATTTCTATGATTTTTTCAAGTATTAAAAAGAATTATTTCACAAAATCTTATATCTGAGTAAGATAGAATAAAAAATAATCTACGCCTTAATTAACATCTTGATATTTCCAAAACGGATTTTCTAATTAAAAAATATTAAACAACTAAATTTTATTAAAAATGAAATAACATCGTTTTACCTTATTCGTAATAGGGGTATCGTAAATTAATCCATTTGAAAAGTTAATTGCTAGATACATAACAATGAAAAAGTAAAAATTCATTATTGGTTTGACAAATCGGTGTTCTCGAATAAAACTGATAACTTGAAATGATAGATTAATTGATATTTTATTTATTTTATAACAATATCATGTTTTTAGTGTAAAAACGCCATCTTTTTAAATATATATAAAGTATTTTTATAATAGCAATATTAAGCATTTAATAAATTAAATTTTGTTGTTAATATTTAATAATACTTATTTAAAACTAAGTAAACATTTTATTTATGACATGTGCAGAACCTTTTTTTATATAATTATTTAATTGTAACCAAAATACTAGTAAAAACTTCTATTCTTTTGATTCAGTCAACATTAAATACTGAAATTTAAGTCTATAAATTAATAAGCTTTGACGTTTGGCAGATGGTTTTTGTAAAATTGATCATTTATGCATCGTCTTAACACGTTTCAATAAATCAATATTACAGTTTATCATACTTATAGCAGTACAATTATCGTGCAAAGGCAGTCAAATTTAACTGTAAATTTTATAATAGGACTGTATGGTTGAGGATTTGTAACATTATTGTGCAAAAAAATTAATTTTTTACAGCGTATTTTCTGACCATTTCTCAGTTATGAGATTGTAAACTTCTTAACTGTTTATTGGAAATTGTCTCTTAATCTGAATGTAGTAAATGTTGCTCAATAGTAATAATAAATTATGATTTTATAATACCTAACCACCAAAACAAAACTTTTATAATGCAAAAAATATATACATATAGTAGTAAATTTCTTTACATTTTAATTCTTCTTTTGTGGCAGTGCTTCGTGATGAAATGTAGTTGCCCACTTTGCGACAAAAATGGTTTCTGTTAATTAAAAATAAATAATGTACTAAATGATTACATCACATTCAATATTTTAGTTTAAATACATTATTTTAGATTAGTTATATGATTAGAGGATTGTGTATAGGAAGCGGACGCCTCGGTGTGGTGATATTTCCACATAAATCTATTTTGATATATTTATTTAATGTATTTATGATTTTAAAAATATAAATAAATTCATAATTATATAAGATTACTAAATTATACTATATATAGCAGAAATATATATATTTTTAATTTATATTTAAAAATATTATTTTTATTTTCATTATTATTTGCAAAATAGCCTCACTCCAAGATGGTCAAAGCTATAACACAACCAAGAACTTCAAACAAATCCTTATATTCACGTAGGAATCAGAGTTTTAAATAAGTTTAACTATAGCTTCCTAATTCTTCTTTATATTCTATATTTTTTTTTCATTTGATAAAAGAAATTCAACAAAATTTATTTCTGCCGGTAGATTGTGATTGTAAAATTTCAATAAATGCTGGTGGTGTGCAGAAATTTGCATGGCGAAATTATACATTCTTAAATTTTATTTCATAATAGTCAGGGCTGGAATAAGCAATACCTCACGGTAGTTCCAGGGCGGCTGACATCGTGTCGACTGTGTGAAAAAAAATGGGCTGGAATAAGACCTATATGGGCCCCGGGGTGATATCTTGAGATGGAAATATCGCTACCACAAAAGTGATGAGCAAAAAAAAAATTTAACCAGAAAAGCTCTGTTACTAATCATGACTAGTCCAGTAAAATTCTAGATGGGGGCACTTAAGCTGCTGAGCTCCGGATTATTCTTTCCCCCTCTAACTAGTTCCTGATAATAGCTTTGCAAGCGGGCTTTTATATTAGTAATTCGGCCTGTAACAACAACGTGGTTTGCCACTTGCATAACGACTAGCTAGAGTAGCAAGGGTCGCCACCACCTAGGCGAGGTGTCACACCTATCAGATATGATTACCGGACCATAGGTGGAATTTAATTTTAAGTTAATTAAAAGTATAATCTTAGTTAATATGTCGTTATATGTATAAATTACTATAATGCCTCGTGGTTTATAGAACACAATTAAGACAATCAAAGTTGTATGTGATTGATATGTAAAACATACCGTAGCCCGTGTCTAGATTAAGGAATAGGAATGAAATACACGCGAGTAATTAAGTTACTCGCGCAATAAAATAAATATTACAGTTGAAATTAATAAGGAAATTTAATTTAATTGTTAAAAAAAGAAAATTAAGTTAAACATGGACAAAAATGCGAATGCATCAAAAACCATGTCTACAAATAAAGGCAATACAAATAAAATAAAATATTTAAACAAAACAAACAAATAATATTACAAACATCACGGACGGTATTGGAACACATCCGTTAATGTTAATCGGAAATTAATGAAGAACACCAGGAGCGGTCTGGACACTCGCTCCTTAGCGTTGGCTAGAAGAAAAGGGAAACACGTGCTCTCCACACATAAACAAAATTAAGTTAATTTACAATAGAATAAAATGAAATAAAATAATTAATAAAATATAGCTCATTACATAAATATAATATAAAAAAGAAAACGATACCCGGTCTCCGAAGAGACCCATCCGATGGTCTGGATGCTTCGCCGAAAAGACCTGGCCGTTCGCCGTTGGTGGCTCTACTCCATCATTGTAAAAAGAGTGTCAATAAAACAACAAATGTGTGCACCCTAGCACGGTCAATGACAGAAGAAGGAATAGAGAAGAGTCAACACCGATCTAACGGCAATTTCAAAACAATAACGGCCAGTCTTTTTGGAAGGGATCAATACGATAAACAATTCGATTTTAATTATATTTCTCTTTTATCGCCTTATCTAGCGGTCAGCGGTAAAATAATGAGTGGTTGACACCGCTGTGTCAGAAAAAGGTTCTTTCGCGCGATAAAATAAATAAGTAGACATAACAAAAAATCATAAACGGTCCACCTTCGAATTTGTGACGTTACAGCTTGTACTTTTAACCCAACCAACCAGACTTTCAGGTATAATAACTTTACAGAAGTTAGAGTTATTAAGCAAATTAAGTTGAATCATCATTTGTTTTTGAACTGATTTATGGAATTTATCATTTTTTGTCATTGCAGACTGAAGTTTTGGAAATAAAAGTTGTTAAAAATATTAATTTCTTTTAAATATACACAAATAAGTGTTATGTTGTTGAACTTAACTAGTTTAAAAAAAGTTATTTCATCTAAAATTATTTTTTTTGCTAAAATCTCTTAAAATTTTTTTTTTTTTATTGGTCGGTGATGCAAGGGAAGGCTAAGAATCGATTTTCAACTTTTAAAACTGAATAAGAAGAAAATATTAGTAATAACAAAAATTATTTTGTTCATTTTGTACATTTTGATCTTGGTTTTACTGTTCTATGTTTAAAACTTGTTATTAAAAAAATCAGTTAAAAATCACATTAATACTAATATATACATCTATTTTTTGGGGTTTCCTAATTTATAATGAGCAACACTAGTGTAATTAGCCTTTACGTTCAAAAATGTCCCCTGAAAAATTTCAGAAAATTATATTGATTGTTATATAAATATATTATTTAATATAAGGGAACGTTCGATATTTTTTAACCCAACCACATTTTTAAGAAAGGTTGAATTTAGCTTAACTATTATTTAAACTAATTAGTTTGGTATAAAAATATTAAATTTTCAACTTAACTATAACTATTTAACTAGTTAATATGCCCACCATTGATGATATGTACAATTATTGTATTAAAGGTGGTGATTTATAGATAATAATAATGTATTTGACGCACTGTATGCAAGAATGCAGTTAAATAATTACACAAATAACAATAATGACATAGTGAACATAACATAGCGATCACATTACAATATTTGAAAAAATTACAATAATGAATATATTTCATTTTAGGCAAATTATCACAAAAAAATCAAAATTAGGATGATTGTTACAAGTTAACAATGATACTGAAAAGTATTCTATAACATTCAGTTATAATCAACTGTCGATTGGACTACTGATAAGTATACTGGTATTATTCTAAAACCATCTAAGTTGTTAAACTTAAAACAATTACGCCTTATAAAACCTAATATCTTATATGTTTTTAGTTTAATATGTTGAATATCAAAATTAAATAATAAATAATACCTAGATGGCTGTTTAACTAAGCTAACGAATGTCCTTGATCGAAGGATTAATATTGAAATGTACTCAAAATAACGTTTTTGTTCGATACAATAGTGGTATAATAAACGTAATACAAGATAATACCAAATATTGCATTTTTTTAGCTTTAATGCTTTAATAATTAATAGCTTTTAAACTTTGTGTCGAAGCTAAAAATATAATTTATCGTAGTCTAAGAATGCATAAATTATTTAATCGTATAATTATATAAATATATATTATAAAAATATATTTATTATAAATGGTATATATTTTATGAATCATGGGCGTCCATTTTATGATTACCAGGATTAAGAGTGTTGTTTTTGATAGATTAATGATATGTAGGTATGCACACACACATTGCCCCCATACTAGTTCCCTCAGCCATAATGAGGTTGCGCCAGGTCTACAGCAATGTAAAATTCCGTCGAATCGTTAAGGCAAAGTCGACCCAAAATAGTTAGGATAAAGGCTATGGTGATAATGATGACTTATAGGTTTGGTTTTTATTTGTCATTATTTTCTGCCAGAATCAAAATTAAATAATGAATAATGTAATTTAAAATGTTTATAATGGAGTTCATTTTATTTATAAACCATTATTAAATTATTATAACAACTAAAAAATATAATAAAAAAAAATGTAAAATATAAAAAATGTAACGTATATATTTCAGCTGTGTAATTAAAATAAATTATCTTTTAAAATACTTGATCTTTTTTTAACAGTGATCTATTGTTCTTGTTTCTTTCTTGCTAAATTAAAATTATATTTTGTGAAATAGTTTTGCATATAAATTTATTTCTAATAATGTAAACTGTATTTTCATAATTCATTAAAATATTGACTTGTTACTCATTTTTTTGAATAATCAGTATGTTGTTCATGATTATTCTATATTTTAAACGAAGAGTACTATTCAAATAAAACATAAAAAATATTGTTCATGATTAATAATATATTTCGAAAAAATATAAAATAATATATTGTCGTTATTAAAAATAATGTTTCATTTATTTTTACTATTGATAATAAATAATTTTTATAGAAATTATTACTATTTCTTTTGAAATGATTTATTACGATATAAAAATAATTAAACACAAAAAAATTGTTTTCATATTATTACAGGTTTTGATTTTTAATATTTTAAAAATAATCAGTGAGAAATATAATTTTTAATCAATTTTTTGTTCTTTCAAAGTTGATTTTTTGAAAGTGTATAATAAAAAAAGTTGAATTTTTTACCATAACTTTTAGCTCTACTTCAAGTTTGAAATTTACATTATTCAATAGAAAATTTTAAGAGAATAAAGAAATAGTATTCTTGCAGTCAGGAAATTTTATAATTACTATTTACTGTCAATTTATCAGAAAAGCTCAATATTTTTTTGCATTTTTATTGTTATAGATTACTTTAATAGAAATCATAGTAATCATTTCTATATAATTTTTAGTGTTTAAAAATATTCAACAATTGAAATATTCAAAATTTATTAAATGATTTATTTTAACCAAAAAAAAAAACAAACAAAATGTTGTTAAAAATATCTACTCAATTGTGTGTATCATAAAATTTGATTATAATTGTAAAAATTTTTTGTTAAATTCAGGTGAAACTTAAAATAATTTTTTTTTAAATTTATGATTTATAGAGCAGAGTGTTACCAGAAAATTTGGAATATTATAGACTTTTAGTAATTCGCACAAATAATGATAAAAATTAATATATTACAAAGTGCAATTATTTAATTTTGTAGTTGAAACCAAAAATCATATCAAACCTAATTCGGCAATAAATATTTTAAAAACATTAAAAATGAATGATTTTATTTGTCTATATGGAGAATGTGTGAAAGTTACTTTTTAATTAATTAAATCGAGATTTATATCATTAAAAAATCATTTATATATCATTAAAAAAGAAAATTATGTTGATTTGGTCATTTTTAAAACAATTATGGCATTATAAAGTTAAAAATATAAAACAATTTTTTTTTATAAAAATCGTATTTTTTATATTAACTTTGATGTCCGTTTTCACCATAAAAACAAATAATGTCCAACAATTTTTTCCATAATAAAGTATATTACATTAGCTTTAATTTAAGATATATATAAAAGTATCATTATTTCCGGAACATTTTCAAAAGTTAAGTTGAAAAAGTTTATATTTGTAAAACAGCGACCATTTTGATACCATCGCTGTGAGCAGGTAAAAGGTAAAATGTTCACAAAAATATTACAAATGATAGGTAAATATCTCACGTATCAATAAAGAAAAAATTATATTGATTTGATCATTTTTAGAAAAACAGTTTTAGTAAAAAAAAATTTTAAAAATATAGAAAATTAGCGATTTTTAAATTTGTGATTTTTTTAGGAGATTTTCCCCATTTATGGGGAATAAGGAAAATGTTATTGATTTTTGAGAGTATTGTCTTCGATTAGATATCATTTGTGATCTTTTGACGTATTGTTCATAGAAATCGATTCAGTTAGAGCTGAGAAAAAGTGGTGACAAACACAAAAAAAAAAACACATTATAGTAAAATTAATACCTTGTCAGCTTCGTATTGAAGCTAATAACAGTTAATTATTGGATACAATGTAACTTATAGACAGATTTTAAGTAAAGCCTTCGCGCAGTTCCCCTATTGTATTAATCAAATAGAATAGGAAGCATTATATACCAAGATCAAGCTAGGGATCGCTAGACCACCCCCTTCTGACTATAAAAAGCCATTATCTATGCCAAACACGTTCTTTTGGGTAACTTCAAAATACACAAAATTTGCGAAACTCTATTCAAGATTCTCACTTTCTTTGACTTAGTCGTTTTTTAAATTAATTTAGACTTCGAATATTTTTCCTTTAAAACTAAATGACACTTAGAAATATTAAAGTGAATTTTGTTTTAGTAATGCTTTTAATCAAAGTTTATTTGTTCATTAAATAATAATGTTTTTTTTCTTGTTATGGATATACATTTCATTTAATATTTTAAACATTAAACATTTTTTTTTAATTATTTTATTTTAACAATAAATCCAACCCGACTTTAAATATTTATTTAATAATAAAAATGTATTGTGACCTTAATGTCTTTGTTTTAACGAACATCGCGCCGGGGGACAGAGTAAAGATTGCAACTAGATATTATTCTAGAATTATGTATAATAGATTAGAATATATTTTTAAGCCAATGTGTATTGGGTAGCTACTCTCTGAGCATAATGCCTTAAATAAAACAATGATCTAATACCAATGGCATATGATGAATTGAGATAACTTAAATACAGGTGATTCTTTTAATATCTACTCGTTAATCACTTTTATCCACTATATTTCTCTTAGAATAATAATTATATAAACATTTTTTATGGCTTTTTTTTAGGTTCATATGTATATTGATTACTTAATGAAAATAATTTTTTTAATTATTTCCTATATACTATTTAATGATGTCAACTTTATTTTATAATAGTAACATATATATTTAAAAAGCTTATAAAATAAAAAATGATCTAATTAGGAAAATGACTGGTCTATGAAAATGTTTAATCCATTAATTCAGAAGTTATAATTGTTTTAAAGTTTTGATGGGAGATTAAGTGTGGGTTATGTTATTTTTGTCATTACGCATTACTCTGCAGCGGTCTTCTTCCACTCTATATTCTAAAATTCTAATAATTTCTCAAATACTAAATAGACTTATTTAAAATTAAAACTGTATTAAAAATATTATTAATTTAAGACTAAAAAATTTTAGAGAGGGAACTAAATTATATTATTATATTCACAAAATATATCAATCAATATTTTATAAGCAAAACTAATAATTTCAAATTATTAATACCTCATACATAAAATTTTACAGGAAGAAATTGAAAATAAACTAATAAATGACCAAAATATTAGTAATATTGACAAGACATTTCACTAATTTTAATCAAATTTCGATTTAAAATATTTTAAAAATACTCCAAAATTATATTTTTAATTATAATTTATTTGTAATTAAATTTGTTTCAAAATTATTCAAATATTTTTACTTAAGTTGCTCGAATGATAAAAATAAGATTTTTAAAAAAATAAACGTGTGATAATAAACTCAATAATTATGAATTATTTTTCTGTACTATAAAAAATATTCTTTATGTTTTTTTTTTGTATCAGATACGATTAATCTAAAGAAAGATAGGTGTCGTATTGTTATTTAATAAATAAAATTTACTTAAATAATGAACACTTAAATCAAGAAAACAATTATAAATAATTATGAGTGCACTGACGTATTTTTTTACGTCAACTTTAAATTTAAAATACCGATAAAAAAATATACAGAGTGAGTCACGAAGATATAAAATACCCAATAATCATTTCTTAGTAATTTATTTATTTTTAATAATTTATGCATCAAAAGTAAAATTGTCTAATACAATTTTATTTTATTTTGATCTAATTAATTGCAAAAATATCTACAAAATTTTAGACTACATTATACAATGTTCCAAAATTGGAAAAGGTAACCAAAAATATACCATTTAATTATATTTATTAAATGAAATTTCTTTATATATAGAAATAATTTTGATTTATCACCACTATCTCGTTTATTTGTTTCTAAAAGCTCATCTACTGCTGAATGAAGTTTTTTCTTTTTTATGTTTGATTGAGATATAGTATGGTAAAATTTAATTTTATCAAACGTTTTGATAACATTTAAATTAAGTCGTAGATTAAAGCGATCACAAAGTTATTAATATGCCATCAATACTGAAAATATTATTAATACTACTTATATTAAGCTGAAAATTAGATTATTTTTATTTAATCCCGCATATCAGAACTATTCAACGTTTTTTTGTTTAAACTATTGTTATACATTGTAACCTGTCAGATGTAAAATGTTTAGAACACATTTAACATGAATGAAATCCTTACTATCATATAGAAGAATGGTTGAGAACTATATAAAATATTAATTTAACATCCACAAAAATATTTAAGTTGATATAACGCATAAGAAACTTAATGGAAGGGATATGACATCCATACCTCTTCGATAATTACGCCAATGTATAGTATACAACATCTTATAATATAATACGTAAATGAAAAATAGGATTGATGATTTAACAGAAAGTCTATAAATCACCTGTGACACTTCACTTGCAAGTATGAGCGGATAATAAAAACATTATCTTCTTCAGTTTAAACTGTTTTGGTATATAATATACATTCGACGCATAATCAATAGATGTGATGAAAAATCATAATTTTATCAAAAATTTGTAGTCATTTAATAACAAATTTAATGACAAATAATAATACATTATATAGTGATGCTATTATAAATATTGCTTGTGTTAAAGCTACATATAGAGTGTTTAGTAAGCAAAGAATTTGGTACGAACAATGAGAACAATAAATAGTATCTATTGTTGAATCAAAAAAAGTCAAACTTCGAAATTTTAATGAGAACCGTTTTAGCTTTTTTTTATACTATAAAATAGGTATTTTTAATTAGGCGAAGATTTGAAATTTTTAAACAAAATTTTAATGGTCGCTCAATATGTTTTTAGAATTTTGACCAGAAACACCCCCAAAAAACAAAAAACTGCCTCTGTTATTCAATTTTTGGTCAAATATTATGATTAGTAATTCAAAATAGTTTGATTTTTACTATAGAATACAAATTTTTTAGTTTCAAAATTTTAAGGCAAAAATTGATAGTGTGGATTATATCGCTGTCAGATATCGTCTATACTTGTCCCAACTAAACTACGACCCCGTTCTACTGTTTTTTTATATTTTTTTGTTTTAAATTTATACATTATGTATATTTTTAATTTGTATCAGAAAATTATTTTCTAAATATATTTATAATGAATACGTTTAAAAAAATGATTCACTTATATTGTAAACAAAAAGTACTATTATTATCTTGTTCTTAAAAAATTTAATTAAAAGTTTGTCACCAATATAGTTTTCAAATAATTGATGAACTAATTGGTAAATGGCGTTATTATGTCCGTTGTTGTATTCAATCTTTAACGTCTAAATGGTTGCCTAGTTTATCCCCTAAAATGTTTTTAGAATGTCAAAGAAAATTCGCACATTTGCATATTTTATAATATTTGAGTTTTTATAAAATTGTTATCTTTTTTCCTTTGTGAAGTTATATTATATAAACAAAAAATTAAGTGAAGTATGTTTATACATTTTAATAGGAACTGTTGCAAGTTAAAGATTTTTCACGTGTGTGTATATACCATTTACACAAAATTTGTTATATAAAAAATTTGGTAAGTAGCAAATTATAATTTACACTAAAAATTGACATTATAGCAATACTGTAATATAGAAGTATATAGTTCTGACAAGGAAAATGAAACATATACTTAGTGAGGACAAGTGCACTAATCTGAGAATAAATATTCTGCAAATTGAGGTGAACTGTTCCACATTAATCTAAACAACAATTCTTTTTAGGACCAAACTTAGGTCTATTCTATTAGCCTAATAGACAGTGTTGACTAGGAAATTCATTTCAAAAAGAACGGATTTTTTAAAACACGTTCTTTTTATAGGATCAAAGCTAATTTGTTTCTTATTTGTATTTATAAAAATAGAATTTAAAAACCCAGTACAGTGGGGCAGAAGTTTAATTGGGAAAAAGTATAAATCGTTTCTGATTGTGACTATTATTATCATTATTATAAAGGCGTTTCGACGCGACTCTGATAAATTTCATAATATGAATATTTGTAATTTTAGAATTTTTACGATTTAAAATTTCACTTGAATATTACATGTTTGTTAAATTATTTGATTAATTGAAAATAACGTTATATTTTTGCTTTGAAATCTGATTTTTCATAATAAGACAATTATCGTGATAAATTTTTTTTTTAAACACTGTTGCACACTTCAAAAAATTTTATTTGATATAGGTTAGTAATCGTCAGAAGTTCCGAATCATTTTTAATAATTGATAGTTTGATCTAAATTAAAATAAGGTTTTTTGACATACTCGTGAAATAGTTTTTATAGGATAGATGTCAAAACTTGTTTTTGTCTCATCATAGACTAACATTACTCACAATTATTTTAAACTCTACCTNTCAGAAGTTCCGAATCATTTTTAATAATTGATAGTTTGATCTAAATTAAAATAAGGTTTTTTGACATACTCGTGAAATAGTTATTAATATTAATATTTATTAATNAACTTGTTTTTGTCTCATCATAGACTAACATTACTCACAATTATTTTAAACTCTACCTATTTTAACTTAATTATAATTTCAAATATCATGCATTGTTGAATCTCATTTAAGTGCTGACATTATACCCGACTATTCAAGGAAAATCGGATCTAAGTGCTTGAAGCTGAAACTACAACAACAGCAGCCTTGAATTATATAGCAACGGGTAATGTTTGTTAAACTTAGGGTTGCTTTGCCGGATACACACACAATAGTATTGTTATTATTTTTATAATTGTATCATCAATAATAAGTTTATCCAAACAATTTATGAGACATTGCGTGAGCCAGTGTACAGTTGTTCATTTTGAATGATTGTTGAATGATTCTAGAAGATCACGGAGTTTATAAAAATGAAACCTTTATAAACGACTTGTGAGTATTTTCTATAAGATTTTTTAAAAATAATTATAATTACTGTATGACACTTTTTCTCATATTTATATCTATCGTTTTATATTAAGATATTTTTATTTTTGTCAAATCGAAGATGGAATAATATATTATATTGATAGTTTTAATGTCTATAAAATTTAAATATAAATGAATTGAATTAGACAAAAAAACATTACGTAGCCTCCAATTTATTTTTTTAAATAATACTTATAAGTATCAAAAATAACAAAAAATCACACAAAAATATAATTAGTATTTTTTTGATGATAAAATCAGTAATTGAAATTGAAAGAGTACTCAACAAATATCATAATAAATTTGATTAAAACATTAATCTATTATAATTGTAAATTAATATGCGATATAATATGGCAATTCTACATAGGGCGCATTATTTTAAATAATCTGACAATACTATCAATGATGTACTTTTCTTTCAAGGTTATATTTGATTTTTACTAGAAACTATTTTTACTGAAATTTTTTGTAACTTTTAAATTGTATAAATAATTTTATTACATTAAAATTGTTATTAATCATAGATTAATTTTAATTTAAAAATTAATTGTTTAAATGTTAATTTTTTCTTTATATTAATCTATTTTAAGACGATTAATATAATTAGTTGTCATAACCCTAAATTAATCACCGAGAAACGGTCAAAGTATTTTTATTATTTACAACAATTTTCTTATTGAACATTTTGTTCACATATGTGTATGTAGATTTATCTATATACACATATGAATTTACTTGTGACAAAAACCTACTTATTAATAAATATAAAATGTTAATCATTATTATTTTAGTTAGAAATAATAACATGATGAATTGCATTTTAATAAGTTCATAGTAACAATTCTGTTTTAATTGCAAATTATTATCAAAGGTAAGTTTATACACAAATTGCCACATTATAATTGTCGATAACTAATATAAATATATATATACAGGATGATTTTTTCAATATCAGTGACTCGATTTCTCTTAAATTAATGTATTAATATAATAATATTATATTAAGACAATTATTTTTGGTATTAACATTTTCGTTTTTGATCTCTTAAGAGACGAAAAAAAATTATTTAACTACGTATTGTTGTAGAATTTTTTGAGTCAAACAATGTTTTTCTTTACAAAATTTTTAAATTTTCAATTGTTTACCAGAAAATGAGTGTCATATTCTTATTCATCCTATATATTCTGAATAAGCATAAAATAATTTTATGTTACACATAAGTTGATAAGTTCAACACGTGGCAAGAGGTAGTATTTAACAGTAGCTTTATTTTGTTTGATATATTTTTATTTTTTATTATATTAAGATATTTTGATAAGAAAATGTTCATCATCTCTTAAAAATCTTTTAGTTTAATATTTATAAAATATTTTTTGTAGCATTGTTAAATTATATTGTTGTTAAAAAGACTACAAAGCATGTTTTCTTTGCACTCAATGATTGTAATCTAATTTACTAGAAAAGACACCCGTATATTAAATTATCAATTCTGTTTTGACGCTATTAAGATGCATTATAATGTTCAATACAATAAATCACGATTAAGCTTAAGGTATTACTTATATTTAAAAAATAGTTATTACACTGTACTAGTCTACAATTATTATTTTCTCTGGAAAGATAAAATATGTATAAAATTTTAAATTGAAATGTCTGAAGAATTTATTTGTTCAATTTCAGTTAATTATTGAATGATTTAATTTGGATTTCACAAGAAAAAAAATTGTATATTAATCAAAAAATAAATAATTATCAATTAACTTTTAAATCGTACAGTATCATATTTTTTCAAGTCAAATGTTTGTTTATTAGACAGAAATTAAAATATTTTGAAAGCTAATTTTATATTCCAATGAGCGCTCAAATTGCCTATACAGTACGCCGATTTAATGAAGATCTTCTCTAAACTAATGTTTGACAAGTTAGATCAGCAATAAAATTAGTTGTTTTGAGTAAAATTTATGCAGGGTGATTTTTAAACTACGCTCCTAGTAATATATCTGAGTATTAAGTTTATGAAACAATGTGCAATGTAATTATTCTTCCGAAAAAATATCTTATTAATTAAAAAAAAAAAAAAAAAAATCAACTTCCTATCTTTTTTTACTCTTTATTATAATGATTATTATAATTATAGGAGTTCCTCGGTATTCATAATTTTATAGACGTGTATTATATGTGAAATTGGATTGTGGATTGACTGTTAAATTTGATTTCAGTTGGATAAGAGTATTATACTCTTTTAATTAGTTTACCACATTATGGATGTTAAGTAGTATGTAATTATCTATATAATTAATTTCTTTTATAATTCAGATGTTTTTGACCTTTAATTTAAACCCAAAAATATATTTAATAAAATTGTATAGATATGTTTTCACAAAAGTACTTCGGTTCTTTGTGGGCATACGCTAAGGAATTTTTCGTTTGTTTGTCTATGATCGGTTTTTCAATAAACGATTGTTACGCCTGAAAAGCAATCCGGAAGCAGTAATTGGCCGATCGTGAGCTTATTTTAACGTTTTTAAAACCGAATGTAATTGCGTTAAACAACAGCGTATGAATAAAAGGATGACAAGTGCGACTTGGTATGCAAAGCGAACTGTCGTTAAAGGCTGATGGCTGGTAAACAAGAGGTACAACACGTGTAATCGTAATGCTATTAATTGTGTCTGAAGTGTGTGCGTTTTAAATACAATTAGAAATGTGGTCGTCGACCGCACGTGACCTGTGCATGCCAATTATTGGCGCTATATTCATCTACACGTGTTCGTAGTACTACAATACACCACTTAACTCCGAGTTCTGCAACAATGACTTCCGGTCGGTGCATGATCTAAAGAGCCGTTATCGAATCAATGGATGTCCGTCGTCGGCTAAAGATGCCGAGCAACTCCTTTAGAAAAAAAAAAAAACAACAATAATAATAGCGCAATGGAAAACAAAACGCGTATACGCAAATTACAATCCTAATGGCCGTTCCAAGGTCCGTTTGTTTATAATATTATAATAATAATGTGTTTTTCGCTCGCGGTCTGCCGCCACTCTGTTCTCGCGTCCCGTACTGCAAATGTGGGAAAATATTAACCATATTACGAATAATATTATGTTGTTTTAGATGTAATACGGTAACAATGATGAACGCGCTTTTATCGCTGTGCTTCGTGGCTTGCGCTTCGCTGCTCTCCTCCGCCTTCGGATGCGACGTAAGTTGTCATGTCTTTAGAGAACCACTATTTTATGATCTTCTAATCTCTTTGTCCGTTCTCGAAGGTTCCACCGTGGACACTAAAAAGAGCCGACGCCCGCAATAGTGTTGTGTCTTTTTTCAACAACACTATTACAGATTCATTCATGATGGTTAGGTGGACTTGGATGGACTCGTCGTCTGGCTTATGGGACACCAGACTGCGAGTGTCACTCAATAAAGAAGGTTAGTTACCGTGGGTGGTTTTATTCGTGTCGAGTTATCGAAAGGGGTCAATGTCATTTTAGACGATTTTATTTGTATTTTTAGATTGACAAAATGATTTTTATTGTAGAAATAAGTAAATCGGTAATATCAAAAATGACACATTCACTTGCAGTGCAGTTTTAATTTTAAAATATTACACATTTTAATTCTATGATTATTGTTATTACTGAAATGACTGTATAATGTACAACTAGATTTTTTTTAACGGAAAATAGTTTAAATTTGTTGACATTTTGTATTCATGATTTTAATTTTTGTCACAAATAATTTTAACTATTGAGTATAATTATAATTCTTCGCGTTATTGGGCAAACATTTATTAGCTGAAATTTGACAAAAAAAAAAAAAAAATTACAACATTCAAAACGAAACCGTAATTGTGGCGTTGACATAAAAAAATTACTAAACCACTATAATCAGTTTTTACACGAAATGGAAAAACCTTTTTCTGAATCGCGAGCATTTCTTTAAAGCGTTTTTTTGTTTTTAACGTAATTTATATGATATACAGAAATTCGATTTGATTTTTTATCGAGTTGTTAGGATAATTTTCTTTGGGTCCCAAGACAAAACGGAAAATTTATTTTCTACAGACAAATTTTTACATTTTATAATATTCATTGGATTTTTATTAAAACTTAAACGTTTAACTTGGTAAAAATTCTGGTAATATTATTAGTATTTATAGATTAATTCTATTACATTGACCTTTGCAAACACATTATTGTCAATGGTCGGAAGTAGGAATGTACAAATGATAAAATAACCCATTATTATAAATAAATATGTAACATGTGTTCGCCGGAACTGAGACTAACGAGGTCATGTTATTTTATTTTCAAGGACATAATTAAGATTTTTATAGTTAAATATGCTTTATTGAAATTAAATTAAGTATTACATAACAGACCGCATTAGTAAGATAGATCAGTGTAGTTATGCACTCATTAAATAGGCTTCAACATTTCAACAATAGTAGGCCTTAAAACGATTCGCCAATGCTTTTTTAAGAGAAATATTAATCATTCTAGGTCATGGCATACATTTACTTCCGACTAAAAAAGTATGTAGTCATTTTCTTAATAATAATTATAGAACTGTTCCATTATATCGTAAATGAAGTATACGGAATAGCGACCTTGTAAAGTGGATAATGCAGATTTTTATAATTGAAACATGATTAGATCTTGATTTTATGCTAAGATGAAAAAACCTAACGGATATTAATAAATTAAGCAAAAAATTATTTAAAATAAATTATAATAGACCTTAAAACAATCCTAAAGAATTTTTAGACTTATAAAAAAGCAAATAAATGTATAAGTGTAGATACCAAACCGATTGTAATAAAAATCAATAAATATATTTATATATATATATATATATATATATNAGAGACAGAGAGAGTATTTCAGACCTAACTGACAACACTTTTGATACAAAAATCATTTTGTTGAAATTTTTTTTTAAATAATTATTGTTTTTTTAGACTACGCTTAAGGCATATTACTTATTAATTAATATTAAAAAATATGCATTAAATATAGTTTAAGAAGATAATAATTATTTAAAAAAAAATTTAAATAAAATGATAATTGTATCGAAAATTATAAGCGCTGTCAGTTAAGCACGAGACACTCTATATATACATATAAATAAGGTTATTCAGCATATTCTTAAAATTTTAATAACTCTTGATCCAGCTAATATTTCGCATTACTTTATTTAAAAATAATTATTAAGACTATGAAATTACCACAGTAAAAAAAAATGAAGTTTATATAGAATAGAACATTAATTTATTAAAATAAACTTAGTGTGATAAATAATAAGAACTGCTTATACATAATAATTGAAACGATAATATTTCAACTTTTGTGGCTCAAAAATCATGGTAAATACACGTAAATATACAATTGTGTTTGCAGCATATATATATATATATATATAGAAAAGTTTTTTGTAGTACTGTCATCCTAAGCAAAAAAAAAGATAGTAGGATTTTAAAAATAAACTTAAAAATATTTTGCATACGATAGTTTATATCGTATCCAATTTAAATATGACATTTTGAGAGTCAAAATACCCCACAGACATTTATAAATTATATATAAAATGGAAAATTTGTGTCGTTAATTTTTTTTCAGGTTTTCTTCGAGAATAATTTTTAAACTCCTTCACATTTGGTAATATATTTACATATTTTCAAATACAATGTATAAAAATAAATAATTAAATAATAAATAATTAGATAATGAAAGACCAAATTATGTAGTAATTTTACTTAGAATAGGGCCATATACGTGCAATTTCGTCATATATTGATTAACACAAATGTATAGACATATAATTATAATTATATTGAGGTGAATATATTTAATTTGTGAAAACTATAATTTTTTAAAACTATACAAGAGTATGGTATCTGAAATTTTATTATTTTATATCTTGATTACTGTAAAATATTTTTTAATTAAATTTTATATAAAACTAAAATATGAATAATAATTTACAAGTTTTGTATTCCATTTAATTAAAGTTGGTTTCGTATATTTACAGTATAAAAAAGTGTGTTCCTAAGCATTAAGTTTGTAATAGAATTTTAGTGTGTCTATAAATATATAAAAAAATCTTAGACATCATCTGTTTGTTTAAAAGTTTCTAATGGAGAAATTTGCTGCTTAAATATATATTTTTGCATATTATGCAAAAATTTAGAGTTTTTTTTTCGAAGGAGATATTAAATTTATACATTTGTTCAGAACACGAAAAGTATCAATAAATATTTCTTTATACAAAACTCTTACTATTAATATTATGATTTTTCTAAAATTTTATGGAAAATGTTATTCCTATTTTACGTTAATATTGTGGTTAATAAAATATTATAGGTGAAAGAAAATTATTCATTCATATCATTTTGAATAAATTGTTGTGAAAGACTATTTAAGATAAGAATAATAATTAGGCCTAGGAATTTGTAGCATTTGCATCGTTTTTCTTATTACTCTAGTGCATAGCTCGTTAAGTACAAAATTCAATTAATACGTCACAGAGTTCAAATATATAACTTTTCAGTGCATTTATTAATATATTTTTTTAAATAAATGTTTTTTTGTTTACTTTTGGGTCATTTTAAAAACATTTTTTATCTATATAACTTTTAATGTAAATCTACAAGTTTCAATAAAAATTGAATTTATTTTAATTTTTGAATAAATTATTCACTATTTAGTTTTTACATATTTTTTTATATGTGTCTCTCTAAATATATTTCAATAAATCATAACTGTATAGTCTTGAATGAAATGATCATTAATCAAACTCTTTTGATTAAATTGCACAAACACATATATCTATCTACATATTAAAGGCTTTTCGTTCAATACACACATATACATTGTAAATTAAAATAGAAAATGATTTTTAGATTTTCTAAAATCGATTTTAGATATACCAGGGTTCAAACATCCACTGTTCAATATTTTAAAATTAGTTAAATATTTGCTAATTTATTTTTTCACGAAAATTTAAAAATTCATTTAGTTTTTCTGAGAGTTAATCACGTTATTCATTTAAATATGTGTAAGTTAGTATATTGGTATTCAATTATAAAAAGTTATTTTCAGTTAAATTTTAAATAATTTTTAAAAGCATTTTCGGGTTACAATGGTATTGTTTTAAAACCTTGTTGATTATTTTTTTTAGTACATTAGAGTAGATTTCAGTACATCATTTTACTAGCATTACTAATAATTCAGGTATAATTTCGTAAAAAGTGACCTAGAGTTATAGCCAGTGCCAAGAGAAAAGGAGCCAAATTATTTACTTAATATTTTGATAACCTCTGAATTAATCGTTATAAATACAAACAGCAGTTCGAAACAGTAATATAGTTATTACACATAGTTGTAAATGAATAAATTCAACCTTAATTAAAAAATTATTACAAATAGATAATGAGAAACGATATTTAATTAATCAATGAACAACTATTATAAACGTATTATTTACTTACTTAGGTTAAAAATGTTATGTAAAAATATCAATTAATAAATACTCATTATTTATTTTAAAAAATTAATCTGATAAAAAGTACGTTAAAAATATTTGGTATATCATTGAGAATTAATAAATAAAGAGTTATATAGCAAATTTAATAAATATTAATAATTATATTATTTTTACAGCTTGATTGTTAAATATTATTACTTTAAACTGTCACTTATAAGATATTAATTTATAATAGAACTGAGAGAATAATTTGTTTGAGATATTATGAAAATAATTTATTTTAGTTGTATAAAACATAAAATTTTAATCATTTAACAAATTTGAAATATTTTCCAATATAAAATGCTTGTTTTCATAATATTCTTATTTTTTATTTTTCTATTTAAACTATGATTAAATACAATATATAGTTGTAATCTTTGGTCCTTCACAGTTTACAGTTAATTAAACAAAATACAAAACATTAGTTCTGCGAATTTGCAAATTTATGCTGATTTGATATTCACAATAATAATATAAAGCTATTTCATATTATTATAGTTATGATATTTATTACTAATAATTAATAGCTTCATCGTTTTAATATTACTTAAAAATATTAATTATTTTTAAGCTGATTATAAATATTTCAAAAATTAAACTGAGATAAAAATTAAAAAATAATCAGTACATTTTATCATAGAATTATTTTATTAAAACACTGAAATTAAATTTTTAGGCAATATAAATTAAGAATTGTTTATTTTGATTTTATTATTTATATATTTGTGACATATTAAAAAATATGTTTAAATTATTTACTGAAGGCATATAACGATTTTTTAAGGCAATTAATATGAATATTTCAAAATCACAAAATTATAAATAATTTAACACATATATCTTAAGCAGAAAAAACCAAACAAATATAATAAAAAAGAAAAGTTTTGACTATGAATTGAAATTATATTTTCTGATTGAATGTTGGGTAAAGAACAATACACTAGAGACAAATTATTATGAATATATAAATAAAAAGAAATTTAATTTTCAATTATTTTTTATTATCACAGTTAATAGTTAAATAACATTAGATAACTATAGTCTTGTTAAAAAAATTTTAAGTCAAAGTAAAAACAAATATTATGTATTGTATAATTAACATTTTCCCTAATATTGTATTTTTTGTTATTCTCCTAAATTTTGGTTCAACTTGACATAAAAATTTGAATCATTTTTCTTAACAAAAAAAATTGTCTTATTTATATTATATTGTTCCATTGAATATAGACATAATTGGAGGAGGATTTACGTATTCTGACCAATATGAAAACGAAATAGCGTCAGTCAGATGGTTTAGAAAAAATGGTCCAATTAAATGGAAATTTACGTCGTTTTCGACGCCACCAGATAGTTGGTGGATGACATCAACATTACCTTGGGGAGGAAATATGACATGGGGGTACAAAAATCAAATTACTGATGGTTCGTGGGTTTTTAAAGTCGGTAAGTTAAAAAAACTAAGGGATATTTTTAACATAATAATAAAAAATAAAACAGATATTATTTTTTGAAGTTATAGAAATCTTATCTTACAAAAATAATTTAAATTTAGATTTTGTATTTTAGTTAGTCGCAAGGAAAAAAATAAATTAAAAATACTTATGAAATTTTTTAGATAATGATACATTTATCCCAAAAAATGAACAAAATTTTGATGGTTGGCCACAGACAATAGGAAATCGTTGGAAAAGAACAATATCCTTAAATGATCTTCCTATTAAGAATAAAGTATAATATATTATAATAATAGTATAATATATTTAAATATTTATGCACTTAGTTAAAAATTAAACTTTAACTGTATAGTGTTCAATAATATTTTTGATAATTAACCAATTATTAAAAAATGGACAAACTTAAACATCACTTAAAAAATATTAATTTATTCAAATAAATAATAATTATTTTCAAAATTCGACTTAAAAATTTACTTATTTAAAATGTATACATTGAGATAAAAAAATACAGGTTCATTTTTTATTAGTTACAATATTCAGACATTGATGAAAATCACGAAATGTTCACATATTATAAAATACTAGTATTTAGTTCTTATCACTAAATTTAAATTACCAATTGTAAAAAAATAGAAATATAATTTGAAATGTCATTTAGTTTTAGTTGTTGAAAAAATGTTCAAAAATTAGCTATCATAACTTCGTTTACTTGCGTTTTATTTTTACATCCAAATTTTTGACAAGGTTATTAAGGTTTTTATTCATTTTTTTTTATTAAAAAAATTGTCATTATATCGATATTTGTGAAAAAAAAATTATTAAAATTTATTTTTATAAATTTATCAGGAATATAACGCAGACTTTAAAAATATAAAAGAGGAAGAAAGAGACAAAGATGTTGCTAAAATGGTTGCTGGTAGGTTTATTTAAAAAACTTACAAAATTGTATTTTATTTATTTTTGTATTGTATTGTATTTATTTTGTAGTTTATTTATCTATTTCTACTTTACAAATAATAGCAAATAGCAAAACGTTATACTTAAAAATAATATTTAATGTTTTGTGAAATGTATGATACATTCATATTCTTTCATTCGAATATTACTAAAAATGTTATTTATATATCTTTTTATAACGTGATTGAATAAACTATTTTTAATGTTAAAAAAGTATTAATTCAAATTATTTTTTTTAGATTACTTTAAAGTATTCTATCAAGCGTTTAGATCAAAAGGATCATCTCTTGATATTGGTTCTCAACTTAGTAATGATGAATTCAATAAATAAATACATGTACATAAAATTATAATGATCGAAATTCAATACATAAAAATATTAAGCTTTTATTTTTTACAGAAAATTTACACGATGTAATTGTGAATTTTATTTTATCCATTCCACTACGGACAATTCAAATGATTACTTAATTTGCACTTTTTTAAATTTTGTACTATTCATTTTTGTACCAGTTAAAGTATTTCTCATTTAATAATAAGACATTATTTATTAAATTTTTTTTATTAATTAAAAATACTATTGTGAATACTGAATATAATTGTATAATTTTAATTCAATTTAAGAAATATGAAATTGTTAAAATTCATAGTTTAATTATATAAATTATTCTATTTTTTAAATAAACAAAAAAAAAATTAAAGAAGACGTACAGACATATTATATAAGCTAAATATTGTATTGAGTTATTTATTTTTACAGTGACAAACAAAAATAATGAACACTATTTTAATTTATTTAAAATTATTTTTAGTAAAATATTAACCTTTAATTGCCTACTTTGAAGCTTGGTTTCTTAGAAGTAAAGATTTACAACTAATTTTAATGCAAAGTTTGCGAAATCATAATATATTTTTATTTGATTTTCTTTTTGTATAGCTAACCATTTTGAGGGGAGGTTTATGAAATTTGGTTGGCCCACTGATTTAAAGATTAACATAATTATTTACATTTATTTAAGTGTTTTTTCAATAATCAATATTATAATTAACACCTCATATCTTGAATTACAATATAGAATTAATATTTCTTTAATAATATTTAACGATAAGAAACATTATTATTGTCATATTTATATGACTTTATAATGACAATAATAAATGCATAGTAATAATACTCATTATATGAATTTTATTAATAAAAAACTTTTCTATTATATCGAATAAAACGCATCTTTTTTCATTAGTTCCAAATCTAAAAATTAAATTATTTAATAATAATTTCTTCTCGAAATAAAACACTATATACATGTATAATTTTTATTTTAATTATTAAATTTTAAATGTATTGTGTCAATGTCTAAATTTTGGTGCCTATTAATTATGATAATGAGAGCACTCACAATTTCTATTGAATTTTGAGAGATGCTATAGCAAATAAATTGGTGGTGACTATTAATTTTTTATTTGTTTATGCGCAATGCAGTTACTGCAGAAATGCCTATAAAAAATTTGACTAAAAATATTTTTTGAGTTATTTTATGCTTAATTAAGTTATTGTAATAAAAAAAAAAGTTCAATTTATTTAAAACTAATGAGATATATTGTAGATTTCAATAATTGTAGTTTTTAAATTAATCCAACTTGAGATTATATGAAAAAGAACAATTATGATATTTTAAAAAAAAAGATACAAACTAAAATGTTTAGTTTAACAGTTTAACTATTTAAATGGTCCTAAAAAATAAAAAAAATTACTATACCAAAATATGTGTTATAAAACATTGATGAATAACAAGATGCATAGTTGTTAATAAGATTTTAACATATTTTAAATTATTTTAGACAGTATTTACACAACATTATTAGGATGGACATGCAGTATTTGTATTTTTCGTCCTTATGTGTCAGGTGTGAGGATAGGGGTCTTAGTTAACAGTTTAGAATTTAGTTCCTAGAAATTTATCAAAATTATACACATTATTATATAAATAATATTTTTCGGTAGGGGGAAATTAAATTTATCTCCTCATAAAAATTGACCAATCATCCCTTACGGTCTTCCTGAGCCGTGATGTCTGTATACCTCTATTATGTGTAATGCAAGTTTCTTATAAATGGTATACAATTCTCTGATGTCATCAAGTGGCGAATATGATTTTAATTTGAATACTTTATATATATCACCATCACTAATCTGAATTGATCTAAATAATTCATATAAGTATTTAGTTTGGGTCAATTCGGTTGTATGTTTTCTGCCTGGAAAAACAGGTACGATGCAATTATAAAAATTATCGTACATGATCTTTAAAAATTTTAATAGTTGTGATTCTTTAATTTCATCGAGCTTATTTTTATACCATGTTATAACCGTAATAGTACCAGTTGACTTATGAACATGTCTATCAATCGCTTCCATTGTCTTTTTAAAATTTACTACAACTTCATTGATCGGCCAATTATTGACAAGCAAAATGTACACGTAATTAACTAATAAAGTAATGTACTTGAATACTCTATTTCTAATTGCAAATTTGTAAGAATTTAATACAAATTGTCGAAATTTAAGAGAACACATATCAAACGGGTCATTACAGTTCAATTGCAACAAATTTTCGAGCAAATTTTTTAAAGCCACTATATTTCCCTTTAAATCATATGTAGGCTCATTAGCAATATATTTCATTTCAGGGTAATTTAATAATGTTAGAAGATATTCTCTTGTAATTTCTTCACATTCATCAAGGGATGCACTATGAATAAATAGTATAAATACGACCATACATAGATTTGTTTTCATTTTAAATGTTCACCAATATTCAGTAAAAATTATTTTGTAAGTTAAAATATTTCGTAAAAAAGAAAAAATGTTTAAACTGACTTCAATTTTGTTACACGAACTTATTGTGGTTTTAAACTATATTTACTCTTTATAAAAAATGACGAATATATTAATTTTCTCTGTTTGCTTAATTAAAAAAAAGTTTTTAGTTTATGTAAAGGTTTATGACAAATATTATTTGAACACTAAGTTAAATATGACATGAAAAGTTATATTTTAACTTATAAGTTGTATTTTTCTTGTATATGTCACGTTTAAAACTTATTTATGACGTTGGTAACGGTACACGAGTTAAATGTATGGGTGACACTAAATTTGTAAAAAATTATTTTTATTTTTTTACATTTAATATTTGCCGAATGATAAAACCAATTTTCTAAACCTATAATTAATTATATAATTATATTCGATTTATTTGTACAAGTAATTTATTTAACTACTTTTTTTACTTGGAAAATTTATGCGTTTCTTAGTTATTTTATGAAATATTACTTTAAGTAAGATTATGTATTAAAATACATTTAAATTTCAAACAATTTATTATTATAGAAACAAAGTTCATGTATTAGATAAAAATCTAAATCAACGAAATTGTTTCTATGTCTACAGATTTATTAAATGATTATCATTTGAGTACTATTCAAAATTAAATTTGAATACAATTGATAAAATGATAATGATAAAAAACTTATTAAAAAAAATTGAATCTCTTTAATTAATTAAATTAATTTTATTTATTATATTTTCTAAACTACTGAGAATTTTAAAATGGAGAAGCAAGGGAACTTAGTCTCTTTACCTTTCATTTATATTAACAAGGATTACATAAAAATTTATTTGAAATATTTGTAATTTTTGAAAAATTTAATAATATAGAATAAAGTTTATTTTTTAACTTTAAGCCTTATGTAAACTAAGTATTTGTATTTTAAATTAATATTTTAATTTAAATTGTGGGCCAAATCAGTTTTTTAAAACACCGGTTAAAATTAATTTTTTTTCTAATAGAAAATTAAACTCAATCAATCATTAATGATTATGAAAATAATAAACAATAAATAAAGACGCTTTCTAATAGAAGTGTAGAATTTTATTCTAATTTATTAAAGGAGGTTAAGCATGCAATTTGTACACAGGAAATCAATAAAAGAAAGTCAGAGAAACAAAATTATAGTTTTCTTCAATTTTAAAACAATTTTTAAATTGAAAAGTTATTTTAGGCTAGAAATAGATATAAAAATTTAATAAAAATAAAATTGAATAATAAAATTTAGAAAAAATAACAGGAAAATATTTTTGTGTAAATGTATTTATTTATTTTTATGTTTGTATTATTTATTTAAATACTACACCTTTTTAGGATGAAATTTTTATTCTGGAAAATGATATATTACAATATGTTAGTTTGATTTGATTACATTTCTAGTTTTCAAATGGATGTTGTTAAGCTGGATATTAACAACATGGATGAACATATAAGGGTAATGGTCAAATAAATAAAATTAACATAATCGTCTATGATAAATTAGTAGATTGATTTTGGTAGTTCATCAATATTGAATAAATTATGTAAAAAATACCCCTTACAAAATTTTAAAAATTAACTTAATGGTTTATTACGCAATAGATTGTCTGTGGTTTGAAAACATAAAAAAAATTTGACTTACCTTATGAGTATGCAGCGTAGTGATAACATTTGTTATTCTAAACGTTGATATTGAATTTCACTTTATGTTTCATACGTTTCACACTACGCGTTGTTCATTCTATATGACTGTTAAGAAAAACGTTTAAATTTTAAATGATACGACTTCCTTACACAATATCTATGACTGATAATTATATGTTAAATATTCTAAACACTATTTTTATTTTAAAAATAAATTTAATAATGTACCTTTATTTTATTTTTTTTTCAAAAGTATCTTTTTGACGGATTATATTTTATCGAGAAATCGACACCAATATTTTTTAAAGCTTCCTCTGGCCTGGCCAAAACAAGATTAAAAAAGTTTTATATTTATGTATTGTGTTCTGGCTGATTAATTAATAGCGTAAACATTAAAAATATTTTCAAAAGTTTTATTGCGCTGTCCGCAAAGACGCGATGTTCGTTAACATTAAAAAACAATGACATTAAGATTAGAGACTGGCTACTCAATATACATAAGCTTACAAATATACTCTAATCTAATATACCTAATCCCGAACAATTCAAACCACAGATCGCCATGAGAAATGGCAGTTTTTAAAAATATGGTTTACAGATAAGTAAATGTTATGATAAATAAAATAGTTTTTAATTGAGAACTGGATTTATAAGAAATATTGCTAGTTTGAATGTGTATGGCGAATATGTAATTTCAAAATTGGTGCGAAAACAAAAGTGAAATAAAGAAAGGAGGGCAGTTAGTACAGTGGCTAGCGTAGGGAACAATACGTATTAGCGCAGCCATTTTTTACTATTGGAACATTTTTAATGGGCAAGCTATAATTTTTAAGAATTTTTATATTATTTTAGTAATACCTAAGAGTAATAATTTAAAGGAATTATCTTTATATCGGAAAGTCAGTATATGTTTAACGTAGATAATGGTAACAATTCCCTAAATAAGTATC